TTGCTAAAATATATAGCAAAAAGTTGTTTGCCATTATGAAAATACCCTTTTGACTCATTTAATCTATTTGATTTGATTTGAAATTTAATATTGTCACATGATTTTTGTTTGTATTTGCATTTTAGGTTAATGACCAGCAAATGTATTCTTGGGAGATCCTGAGACCCATTTAGATTGCCTATGAGGTTAATGGCTAGAGTGATAGCACAGAAGGTAGGACATTTGCCTTGAACTCAGCTGACCGGGGTTCGATTCCTTCATCCCTCTCTGAGAGCCCGGCAAGCTACCGAGAGTATCCCGCTTGCAAGGCAGAGCCTGGCAAGCTCCCTGTGTTGTATTTGATATGCCAAAAACAGTAACAACAAGGCTCACAATGGAAACGTTATTGGTGTCCACTTGAGCAAATCAATGAACAACGGGAAGACAGTGATACAGTACTACATGAGGTTAATATTTTCGAAACAATTATGGAAGGCCATTTGCCATCTCGGTTATTCGTGTACATCAAACCAGTCCACAAACCAGTAAAGTTGTTAGGCATTACTCTGCAGTATAATAGAATGTGTGCTTGTGTGGGTTTGTATTTTTAAAGTTTCCAATTTTATATAAAACTTCTAGTGTAAAGTAGGGGGAACGTTCTGATGATGGGTTAGGCAAAATTTTCTTAAGGTAGTATATAAAAGTAAGAAGCATAAAATAAAAAATTGATATCTTGGGCTTTATTAAAATTTAAATCAACTCTTTCAAAGACTGATAAAAAGTAAAGGAAGTCTTAGCGTGGAGGTAAAAATTGCAAAATAGCAAAATACAGCTGATAAAGGGACAGTATTAAGAAGCTACAAAATACTCAAGATTTACTTATAAGAAAACAAACAACCTAAATGAACAAAGGATTTGAGCTCATTCCAGTGAAAAGATGAGAAGACCAAAGAGATCATTTAAAGGGCCAGAGCTCGTGCTTTGCACTTGCAAGTCCCTGGGTTTGATCCACAGCATCACAGGCTCACCCCACCTCGTGCCCCAGAACCAGAATATAATCCCACGGCCACTGAGTACATCTTGGGACCATCTACCTCCTCCATGAAAGTGGAAAATATATCAGATATAAGTCTAGCAGATAAGCACCTGCAAATCTGCTCAACCTCATTAGTGTTTGAGGGAAAGTCAATTAAAACCACAAAGATAGCTCTGTACATGAGAACAAAATTAGTTTCTTTTTTTTAAAAAAAATCAAGTCTTAGTGAAAGTTGAGTGAATTGAACTCTAATGTATTATTAGTGGAAACATAAAATTGTTCAACTTCTTTGGTATATTTTACTATTTCTTTATTATAATTATAGGCATGTGGGACAGAAAGCTAACATCTGGTTCTTTAGCCAGAGAAATGAGATATATGTCTACACAAAATCCTGTATACAAATTTTTCTAAATAAATTTATTTGTAATAAACCCAAACCAAAAGTTCCCCAAATATTCGCTGACCAGTGAATGCTAAGAGCAATCATGGTGCAGTGACACAAAGGAACAACCCCCAACAATAAAAAGTGCCCAACTATTGATGCATGCGCAACACAGATGAATCTCAAAAATATTAGGTTCAAAGAACCCAGACTCCATAGGATCAATTTTATTTCTTGGTATTTGCAAACAGTAAGTATAATATAAGGCCATAAAACAGATAGTCCATGACAAAGGAGAGAGGCATTTAACCTCAAAGGGTCATGGAAATATCCTAGTTTATTATCATGGTGACAGCTATACAAGTGCATAGGTTTACTGATATTTACAGAATTACACATTAAATTGTGAATCCTATTACATATAGGCCAATCAGCCTAACAATTCAATTTTAATTTATACTACAATGCATACTCACAGTCACGGTCCTCCTGTTGTTCATCGATTTGCTCGAGTGGGCCCAGTAACATCTCCATCGTGGGATTTGTTGTTACTGTGTTTCACATATCAAATATGTCATGGGTAGCTTGCCAGGCTTTGACATGTGGGCAAGATACTCTCGGTAGCTTGCGTGGCTCTCCAAGAGGGGAGGAGGAATCAAAACCGGGTCGACCATGGGAGCCTTGTGCAAGGCAAATGCCTTACCCACTGTGAGATCACTCCAGACCATCACATCATCACTTATTGGTTGTTTCCAGGTTTTTTTTTGAGGGTGAAGTATTGGACTGTGCTCAGCAATGCTCAGGGGTCACTCCTTGACGTGCTGAAGGATCATTATGTGGTGATACTGGGGACTGAACTCAAGTAAGCCACGCAGAGACAAGTACCTTATCCATGATACTATTTTTATGGCCCTGGTTGTTATATTTTTAATCTTTAAATTTTCTATTTTATAAATTTTAACTACTTTAATGGATGACAAAATCATTAGATATAGGGCATCTTTACAGCATACAGCCGAAGAGAAGGGCCACATGGAGGGCGGGATCCACAGCTCCCGGAGGAAAAAAAAAAACAGGTTCCAAAAAAAGCCGAGATCATCGGGAAGTCCCAGATGGGGTAGGTACCGCATCCCGCCTCCCCCAGATGGAACCCCGGTGACCAGAAGCCTCTACAAGCACAGCTCGAGTATGCGGGCACTAGGACTTTTCCTCAAATCTGCCGGGACTACAGCTCCCAGGTAACCTCAGATTCCGGAAGTCACGCCCACAGCCCGCCCCCCAGCGCCATCTTTACAGCATACAGCCTAAGAGAAGGGCCACATGGAGGGCGGGATCCACAGCTCCCTGAGGAAAAAACAAAAAACAGGTTCCACAAAGAGCCGAGATCATCAGGAAGTCCCAGATGGGGTAGGTACCGCATCCCGCCTCCCCCAGATGGAACCCCGGTGACCAGAAGCCTCTACAAGCACAGCTCGAGTATGCGGGAACTAGGACTTTTCCTCAAAACCTTCTCTCTATATACAAAGTGATCAATGGGAAGTAAACCACCCAATGTTTCTCCCTGAAAATCAGCGTTAAGATTGGAGCACGGCCACAGCCCCAGAAACACAAGGACTTAATGCAGAACCCAGCAGCTTGGAGCAGAAAAGTGAATGGACTATGCGTTAATCCAGGCCATCATGTCTGCCCAGAGGGGAAAGGGTGTTGCTCCCTTCCGCCCTCCTTCCTCTGGAAAGAAAGATGGCGGCCACATGGGAGCCTTGTGGACAGCAGGTATGAGCCGGGGGTGTGGGGTCCTCTAAAACCTCATGGGAAGGGGGGCATTTCGGTCCGCCCTTCACGCCCTACCGAGGTCACCAGTTGCCCCCTGCGAGCGGCTTTCCAGCACAGCCATGGCCCCAGAAGCACAAGGACTTAATGCAGAACCTGGCAGCTTGGAGCAGAAAAGTGAACGGACTATGCGTTAATCCAGGCCACCATGTCTGTCTGGAGGGGAAAGGGTGTTGCCCCATTCGCCCTCTCTTCTCTGGAAAGAAGGATGGTGGCCGAATGGGAGCCTTGTGGACAGCAGGTATGAGCCGGGGGTGTGGGGGCGACTAAAACCTCATGGGATGGGGGCGTTCCAGTCCGTCCTTCACGCCCTACCGAGGTCACCATTTGCCCCCCGCGAGCGGCTCTCCAGCACAGCCACGGCCCCAGAAGCACAAGGACTTAATGCAGAACCCGGCAGCTTGGAGCAGAAAAGTGAACGGACTATGCGTTAATCCAGGCCACCATGTCTGTCCGGAGGGGAAAGGGTGTTGCCCCATTCGCCCTTTCCTCTCTGGAAAGAAAGATGGTGTCTGCATGGGAGCCTTGTGGACAACAGGTATGAGCCGGGAGTGTGGGGGCGACTAAAACCTCATGGGAAGGGGGGCGTTTCGGTCCGCCCTTCACGCCCTACCGAGGCCACCAGTTTCCCCCCACAAACGGCTGTCCAGCATGGCCACGACTCCAGAGCACAGAAACCAATTTCTTAACTATCTGACTTTCAGTAGAAATACTTCCAGGGTCAATAAGTAAAATAGCAGAAATCCAAAACCAACATTTATTTCTGGAACCCAGCTGTAGAAAGCAAATCACTTCACAATGCTTCTTCAGCATGTCTGATTTGGGGGGGGGGGGGGGGTAAACTCTAAATAATAGTGGTGAATCTTTTATTGAAACAATGAATCTAATCAAAGCAGATAGAGTGTTAACTAGAATTCATCTGCCTAACAGGAACTGGGAGGGGTGGGGGATGGGGTTTTATTGGGGTTCTTCATGGTAAAAAATAAGTATTGGTAAAGGCAAATGTGTTTGATATTTGCATGACTGAGACCTAAACCTGAAAGCTTTGTAACCTTTCCCACAGTGATTCAATAAATAAATAAATAAATGAATAAATAATTAGATATAAAATATTTACTTATTTAAAATAAGAATTTACCATGACAAAAGTTTAAATAATCTAAAAATGAAAATCATGGGGCTGGAACGATAGCACAGCGGATAGGGCGTTTGCCTTGCACGTAGCCGACCCAGGTTCAATTTCCAGCAACCCATATGGTCCCCCGAGCACCACCAGGAGTGATTCCTGAGTGCAGAGCCAGAAGTAACCCCTGAGCATCTTTGGGTGTGACCAAAAAAGCAATAAATAAATAAATAAAAATGAAAATCATGAGATATAAAAATTTAGACAAAACAGTATTTTTTAAGTAAATTACTTAGTTAAATAATTTTTATTATACTATTTTTGGCTTCATTCTTTCTCTTCACTATTTTATTAGATAGTGGTTTTAAAATGAAATTTTTTTGAAGGCTTTGCCGTGCAGGTCAGATTAAGAATTCGGTATTCCCTCCTACCATGTTCATTGTGAGTTTTCTCAACAACACGAGAAAGAAAATAAAGGGTGAAAGGTTGGATGATTCAACAGTTGATCAACAACTTTTATATTGAATGACAGTTTTGATCATTTCCACTGTGCACATTTTTGCACTCTTATGGATAGAATCCTGTATCAAGTTTCTTTTTTATATTCACTACAGCCAAAATGAAAACATTTCTCGGATGTTCAGTACCCTGAGTGAGTTTATTTCAAGCTTGGCTTCTCTGCTGCACTTCTGGAAAGGACGCACCGCCAGAGGACACGTTGAAATCCTGACCAGCTATTCCTCTGGGCCACGCAGCTGGGGAGTCAGCAGAGAAGACAGTCACTGACTCTGAAAGGCACTTCTATACCAGACAGCGAACAGATCATAAATATTCATGGCCGTTACAGTGAATTACATAAATAAATACCATCCACTAAACCCAAACTAAATGTATCCATTTTGTTGATGAACGTATCTTCCCAGATTTCAGATTTTTACAGGTAGAAATGTCTCCTTATGCCAAGAAGCTAGGAGCCTGGCTGAGTGAGATTATTTAATAGCTCAGGCTTTCTGAAAGTATTTGAAAAAATGTTTCTTTCTTTCTTTTAGAGTGGAAGGGTTTCTTCTCATTGTAACTTCACATCTTTATCTGAGCATCCAGTCTTTGATGATGCTTTTGCTAAGTCATATGGATCAACTGAATTCTGTGACAGTCTTTTATGATAGTCTTTGTAAACTACTTGTGGCCTGGCTAATTACTTCACATAAGTAGCATACAATATTGTGGCTGTTTCTCATAGCTACTTCTCTAGTTTTTATATAGTATCTCTGTTTTCCTTGTTAGAGTAGCCTATGACAATTTTTGGCAATGGAAGGACATTGTAAACTTCCCATGGAAGGAAAGCTCACTCCCATGTAGAATCTATAGCACTGATCTACAATTCACTTCCTGATGCCACCAGTGAGCCTCATTCTAGAGATAGCAATTGTTGTCTTACATTTATGCTAAATAAACACCTTGTTCTATGTCATATGTGGCTATCTGGGCACAAAACTGAAAGAAAACTGTTTATTTGTGAAGTTTAACAAGCATGACAAAATAGTATAAAGATCAACAGAGAGATGGATAAGGATGGAAATCTATGAGGGCTACCATAAATTTTCAGTATTCAGAATCTCCTAGTAATTCTTTGTGTATCTCAGAGAAGGGAAATTCTCCTATTAGCTCAACACTGAACATAGAAAGCTCCTAGATGCAGATGTAATTAGCTATTGTCTTTAAGAAATGTCCAATTATGTTAATCAAACTGAATTCAGATTTCTCCAAATCAAAGTCTTTTCATTTTCTTGTCATTTCTGATCCAACATTAGATAAAAGATTTCATCTTATGTCGATACTATTTGATTTCAGCATTTTCTGTTCCTCAGGTTAAAATCTTGAGGGGAGAGAGAGGTAGAACAGAAACTTGATAGCTTACCAGACCTAGGTTTAGAATAGATCTAGATTCAGATTTCAAGTCTGACATTTTCTAGCAGTGCATTAGAAAATCACCTATACTCCATGGTTTTCATATATAAATTAGGGATAGTAATAAGTCTTTCTCAGAAATTTGTAAAAATGAAATACAATGTTGTCATGGAACAGTACAGGTACATAACTCTTTTCTCCTTCTATAAGTCTTTCATCCAATGTTGCTCAAATCTTTGTATCATATGAACTTGCTAGCAACTAATAAAGTCTGCCATCTTAATAGCAAAATAAAACAAATGAACAAATATCTCAACCCCTGCCTAATTCTAAAATTGTTTCACTGCAGCTTTTCTAGCAAAAAAAAAAAATGGTACAGAAATGCAGGGATTAAGAATCACAAAATGAAGAGATGCGGTACTTGCAATGATTAACGGTCCCTTGAGATCAGGGGGGCCCAGCTCAGATTCCCCTAAAGTATTTTTTGAAAATTGAACACAGTTTACTCATGATAAAATTACCCATTATCCTAGGAAGCCAGTCAACTTTTCTATGTTTCTTTCCGTTGTTATTCAAAATACCAGCTATCAGGTTTATAATAATGCTTCCATATCTCTAATTCCATAGTATACACACAATGTATTTTGTTTCGAAACATGCCTTCACATCACCTCTTTTTTTTAGATTAAAATACTCTATGGATTTCTAATTGAATCTTATATCTGCCATGAAACCTCAGGGACTGCTATTAAGTGAAATGAGCAGGAGAGACACAAAACTGTCTCCTATGAATTAGGGCAAGGTGATTTTCAATTTTCTGTTGGGTTTCTATAAAAGATGTCAAGACTTTTCTCTAGTTAGAAAAATAAAAGTTGGAAATCAACTTTTAAATGTTAGTCAGATTCTTCCCACTTGTGTGTATATGTTTTTAATCTTAGCCACAATGCTGACTTCTAAAAGATAAATTCTTAGTGGCAATAATTATTCAACATGTAGATCCCTAACCTACTGAACAGAACACCCAGAACCATGTGCTATATAATTTGCACATGCAACAAAGCTTTATCAAGGTATACATAAGAATTTGTGCTTATTATGGAATAACTATGTCACTAAGAATATCAATGTAGGAATATTAAGCTAGGAGACACTTGCTATCAAAAACAAAATATCAATGTGGAGAAACTCTCAGCTTCAGTACCTTAGGAAGTCAGCTTAGTTGAGAAACATTATTAGAAATATAATCAGTGAAGAGGTCAGATGAATGCCATGAACCCACACCAATATGCCTGGAATATTTATTAAAAAGGAGGAATTTGGACACAGTCAAGCTCACAGTAAGTCCAGTGGATGAAAATGAAGGCAGGGATTGGAGTGATGTAGCACAAACCGAGGACACCACAGAGGACCAGCAAAACACAGAAACAAGCAGAGGGGTCCTCAAGTGGACGCTCTCTCACATCCCCCAGAAGGACCAGCTCCTGCTGATACCTTGATCTCAAACTTTAATCCCTAGAATTGTGCCACAATAAATTTCAATCACTTAAACAAGTGGCTTTCAACTTCTGGTCTCTGATGAGGGTCTACAAGTACAGAAACAATGGAAACTAACAAGTTTAAAGCATTCTAATGTAGTTCCTTGTTATTTTGGCAACCCTGACAAATGAAGAAGATTTGCCATGACAGAAACTGATGACAAGTACAAAAAACATCGTCCTCTCCTTCCTGAGAGACTCTGGATTTGATCAAGGAGTCTGTGATCCCTGGTAGGTCAGCGTGACTAAGCAGAGTTTACCATTAGAGCAAGGATTAGGTTTGTGGAAACTCTAGGAAAATGAAACTAATGAGAATGGGGTTAGGATTCAACGTCTAGGTTTTTTAGAAATGCTGTTCAAACAGCAAGAAGAGGGCTAGCTGCTGCTGGTGTCACCAAGGAAACCATGGCAATGGCCAAGGTAGAGAGACGGAGACTCTAGGCTCCTTCTCTAAAGCACACATAAAGTTCAAACGTGAACTGGCTGCAGAAAAAGTTGAGCAAGGTTGAGTGGTGGGAAACTCGGACTGGACACATTACATACAACTCATACCTATGTAATTATGCTTCTGAAATTATTCTTTCCCTTGGACTTCTCTTTAGAACATTTCCAGTGTCTCAAAATACAGGTTTCAGAGAGTATACTGATTACTCTGGGCCTTGAAAAAGAAGCAATAAGCAACCCCACAGAGGAAATATGTGAAGGCTTATTTGTCATGAAATCATAGACTGGAGTAAAGTCTAGCAGAGCCTAAGATCCATTCCCCTGACGCAAAGCCTTTTCTTAAAGATAAGAAACTATCTTATAAAGAAAGGTAAGAAGGCAATTTTCTATCTTTTTTTTTTCTAGCTATCTGCTACTTGGAATTGCAAGGGAAAGAGGAAAGACGCAGGACTGAGAAAACACTTTGATAACACCAAAAACCCACAGTCATATTTGCCTTACGTATTATGAAGAGATTTTTGTGCATGTTATTTTTATTCTATGCTCTCAACCACCCCACAAGGAAGATATTATCTTCCTTTTACAAATTAGGGGGGAAATTTTCAGTTTTCTTTAGCTAAAAATGAAACTCAGGAACTCAGAACTGGTCCAAGTTCAGACATCTGGTAATTACCTGCTGAAACTTCATACTGAGAACTTCTAGCTCAAAATCTTGTATTTTCTTCCCCACCAAAGACATTTGGAGAGATTAAGTACCATGATGGAGAGAGAAAAAGAAATAAAGGGGAAAGGTGGAATAACAGGCATGGGAGGAGGCAATTTCTCATTTCAGGAGAGTCGAATTAAAGAGATCCCCACTCCCCAAAGCAGGCTAGTGTGGTGGTTGTTCTCTGTTGTGCCTTAGTCTGGTCTAATCCTCTCTGATCTTCAAATGAGCCCATTATTCTAAAGGACTCAGTTTCAAATCCTTTCATGACTTGAGCATCATTACCGTCCATCCTTCCTTCAAATGAAATCGCAACCCCATTAGCATTTCTTCCTAAGATAAACTGTAGCCTGATGGTATTTTTGAGCTTGTTCTCTAAAACATCCTCATATTGCTTATATTCCCACTCGGTTCTGAAAATCAGGATTGGATAAAATCTTGCATTTCATTTTTTATCTCTTGTCTACTATTCTCTTCACAATTAAGGCTTTTGGTCCATGAGAACATGATCACTTAATATACAAACCATTTTTCCCCCAATAAACTGTAGTTTAAGCAGTGAGATATGTGCTTAGGGCCATGTTTGATTTTGCTGACTATGATTTTAGCTGGATTTTCCTTTTATTAACACCACCTGATAATTAGATAACCAAAGAGGAAAATAAGTGATAACTGATTTTAAGCTTTACAATAGATCCCCATTTTCTGAGTTACTGCTCACTAGAGGTATTATTTTCTGTTCAAGGCAGTGAGCACTAGTAAAAAAAAAATGATTATCTACTTCTGTTGTTTGCATCCGTTACCACTCAGATGGGCTGGAGTGATAGCACAGCCTGTAGGGCGTTTGCCTTGCATGGGGCCAACTCGACCGACCAGAGTTCGAATCCGCTCTCCCTCTCAGAGAGCCAGGCAAGCAACCGAGAGTATCTCGCAGGCACAGCAAAGCCTTTCAAGCTACCCGTGACATACTCGATATGCCAAACATAGTAACAACAAAGTCTCACAATGGGGACGTTACTGAACCCGCTGGAGCAAATCGATGAACAATGGGAGGACAGTGCTACAGTGCTACCACTCAGATATAAGCTGTAATATTAATTCATAACCTGCTATGTATCACTCTCCAGGTGTTACCTGTTTTCTTATCTTTTTTAATTCCATAACATTAGAAAATGGTAGCTCTATCTCCCAGAGTAGCATCAATCTCAGTCGGTTTAATTTGAAGGCTGTGTGATATCACGCCATACCACCAGCACACTCAGGCAACGGAAAACAGAGAGAGAGAGAGAGAGAGAGAGAGAGAGAGAGAATGTTATAAGGGAAGGGTAAAAGTACATTTTACCTATTTTCAGAGTATATAATGTTATCTTTATAAATGATAGTAGAAAAAATTAGAATGAAAAACTTCTCTTCAGACCACTGATAACAGTTAAACTAGATACTTGGGAATTTGATAATCTTACAGATAAGTATCTTCATCTTAGTTTTGCCATCCTTCTTAAGCCAAGTCGATGAGGTTCATCTAATTTCTCAGTTTACCAGAACATTTTACAGTTATATTTGCATTGTTAATTAACTACAGTTGCTAAACGGTGGGTCAGTTCAGTCACTAAACATCCAATTAATAGATATTAGTATGCAGCAGACCAAATGCTCCATGGATAATTTCATTTCTAACTGTTGATTTTTAAGTAATTGATCTGATCTACCATGCAACTAAGCCACTTGATTATTAAGATGCTTGAAATACTATGTGTGGTGTGCCAGCCATTTCAGAAATGCAATCATTCCTTTCAATGTCCTGTTCCTCAAAAGAAGCACTGGCCCTGGAATTAAAGCAAATAAAAATAGGTCTGTCTATCTTATATTTTTAATGAATCCATTTCCTAATGATGTGTTCTCTACCTAAAATAAATATATTATCTTTTATCTCTAAATATTAAGAATGTCTAACAATGAACTAAATTGCCTTTAAAATGAAATACAGTAGAGTTCTTTAAATTGTCATGCCAAAAATGAGTTATTGGTACTGATTATTAACAATGATTAATTTTCAGGGTTTTATCAGTGATTTTTAGATAAAACATTTTAGTTCACAATTTGATAAATTTTAAAAGAATATCAAGTCACCATGGCATTAAAGATATTTAACTTTCTGTACAAAATAAACAATTTAACTAACAAACAATTCCACTAATGCAAAAGATTGCATATACTTACCTGGCAGGAGAGATGCCATGATCACAAAGGTGGTTTTCCCAGGGTGAGGCTTATCGATTACACTCCAGATATGTGGACCCCTGCAATTTCCCCAAATGTGGAAAACTCAATTGCATAATTTGTGGTAGTGAGGGACTGTGTTAGTGCTCTCCCCTGAAAAAAAGGGGAAAAAAAGAGAGAAAGATTGCATAATTATGTGACCAACCCAACTCATGAATGTAATTTTAATGGAAAGATTAATGGTTTTTAATTGTCTGCATTTGGGAAATTTAGAGTATAATTTAGAGTATAATGTATGGACTGACCTCCCAGGATCCAGAACCCAAAGGTAGACTATTGCCACCTATTTTATTTTTATTGAGATTACTGGTATATCCTCTTTGTCCCAATTAACTCTTGCATTTATACCTTCCAGCTTCTCCTTTGGAACCACTAATTGCTCTCACAATCTAAAGTTAGAATTTATTGTTTGTTGTTTGCTGTTTAATTACTAGTTTTCTCTATATATCACAAATGGATGAAGTCATACAATGTTTATTTCTTAAGTTTGGCTTAATTCACTAAGTATCCTCTATATCTCTCCATATAGATGCAAATCATGGGATTTTTAACGTTTTTGTAACTAGATAGTATTCCACTGTGTATATGTACCATTCCTTTGTCCAATCATCAGTCAGAGGCATTTAAATGGTCAGAACTGAAAGTATTTTAGGGGCAAATTAATCCAGAACCTCAAAAAAACTTGAAGTCGGTGTTAAATGCCATATTACAATTTCTTTACCTGTATAAACTCCAGCTACAAGTCTGAGTCTTATGATGAAAACTTTTAAAATAGAAAGTATTTTAAACTAATTATATTATGGAAATGCATTCGACATTACAAATTATTCATCAAAATATAAAATATTTAAAATAATATGGCAAGGGCAGTCTTTAATTTTGAAGCAAAATGTAAGCCTATATTTTATATTTTAAAGAATACTTCAGTGAGACCAATTATAATAATCATAACATTTTGACCCAACCAACTTTGTTATAAGTTCCAGTGACTTTTCTGGTCATAATATTACTTATTAATCATTCATAACCTAATAATATTAATTGAAGGAATAGAGTAAGAATGGGTCAAGTATGGAATAAGTGAATTCATAAACTCAAATCATTTGATCAATGCATTCAACACACCCTCACTCTGGGACACATCAATAGAGAAAACCATAATTCCCTCCAGATCTCCCTATCTAGAAGTTACAGAATGTGTCATGATGTGTTTAAGCCAGATAAAAACCATGGATGGCAAGGATTCAGAATGATCAGAAATGTAAAGTTTTTCCAGAAATGTCTGAACTTAGTGGTTTACAGGCTTAGTAGTAGCCACAGTAGTAATATTACTAGCAGTAATTGTAATTGTTATAATGTATTATAATGAGTCGTACAAAATGCCAGGTTCAAGTCTAAAATCTGCATTTATTTATCAATTCTTCATATCTACCCTTTATGGGACCTTTTATGACTATCCCCATTTTATACATGAAACCACCAAGATTCAATCTCTCTGAATTACAAACAGACAAAAGTGAATCAGAATTGCAACAGATTCAGGGTTGTAGAAAGAAAAGGTACTGAGGGTAAAAACAAAAAAAAAAAGAGTATGAGATAAAGCCATAAGTATCAGCAACAGCAACTCATATATGAACTTTGTGTGACATATGAACTATTGTAACTTTACCCTAAATCTATTATTAGGTAATGTCTTTGGTAGAGAAAAGTAAAACTTAAGCACGCATATTCTCACTTCTATCTATTGGCTCACAATGCCACAGAAGCATTCTCCTGATACTCCTGTTCTTTAATTTCCTCTCTTCCTTTAAAACATAAAGTCTCTATGAAATCTCTAGTCTACAAACCCCACTATTAAAGTATTCCAACTCTGGGTTAGAGAGAGATAGTACAGCAGTTAGGGTAATTGCTTTGCACTTTGCCAACCTGGTTGATTCCCGGCACCAGGTATGGTCCCTTAAAACAAAACAAATAAATATTCCATCCCCCAAATGTTTATTACATTAGTCAATAATTCTATCTGATATATAGCACTAATTATTCACTTGTATTTTTCTAATATCCACATAGAGTTTACTCATTCTTAAGACCAGAAAGCATGTCCAATTTGCTTCCATAATTGTTCCACAGTGTCCAGAACAGTTAGTGCATAACTAGAAGTTACTCATAGATTAAAACTTACTACATGATATTTTGATTTGTTTATGGACCCCACACAGCATTAGTGATAGTCTACACTTGGGTCTCTGCTCAGGGATCACTTCTGGCAAAACTTAGGAAACCATTCTATGGTGTTCTGGGGATTGAATCTGGGTCAACATTGTCCAAGACAAGCAACATAACCTCTGTACTATCTCTCAGACTCAAAAGCTTACTTTAGAATAGAAACTGACAAATTGATAAATATTAAGAACAGTGGAGTCAGTTGTTAATAATGTTCCTTTAAGGAGATATTTCCTAACCTCTCTATCTAGTCTTTCTGGGTATTTGTTACATAATTAAGAGATTTAAATCTCAACACTGGAGAATTATAATGTGCTTGGCAAATGTCCAAAATGCTGCCCAGATTAATGGAGGAAGAAAAATAAAATCATAATAACTCACAACACACATATAAGTTGTCACTGATTTTCCAGTATCCTACTTCACGACTAGTATTACTTTCAAGATAAGCATTATAAGATTAGGTTTCTTCAGTATTTTTGTTGTTTCTCTATACCTTTCAGTTCACCAATACCTGGCCCTACTTTTTAAACAAGATTTAATTTTTAAATTAACCTTAACACTTGAGAGGTGCTTTTCTAGAAAAGATCTCCCAAGTAGGAAATTCCATCTCTTTCCATAGTTATCTATTCCACTCAGCCTATTCTTCCCTATTTTTAATCTAAATCCTATACATTGCAGTAGGGTCCATTTCCGTGTGTTTTGACCCCTGCAGTGTAATGAGAAAAGAAGTTGATTATCATGAATTGACGAAACCATTCTCTAAAGAAGTACTAGGAAATGACCCAGGCCTCTCATAATTAGTATATAATCACAGTCATTTTAATTTCTACTCATAAATCTTGTTTCCTAGTTATTTTCAACCTCATTACTGAACCTGAGTCCTCTACATTCTTTCCTGCAGAAGCAATTGCTTAACAATAGAACCCAGAAATTATCTGGCTTTTGGTAGGCAAAACTGGATGATGACCTCATAATTCTGATTTCAGCACTTCTATTCCTGCTTCTCATCATGGTGCCTCAACCCTTGATGGGTCCACTTGGTGTTTCATTGCTTGATAATCACACCCAAAATATCCACAAACCAAACTAAGCTAGATTACAGAATGAAGGTTCCCTTTTGAAAACAGTTGCTTAACCCTACATATTTGATACATCCAATCAAAATTTTCTGTGACTATCTTGCCATTTGTCCAGATAAGTAAGGAATCTAATTAATAACACAAATCCTATCTTGTAAGAACTATACTATAGCAGCCAAAAATTTGATGACTGAGTCTCTTTCTTGTCTAGACTACTAAACATGTTCCCCTAATAATCCCTGCCCAAGTTGATGAGGATTTTTCTAACTACAAAGTTTAATCCTTTCTCCAGTGAACCTCCATCAGATGCTGATAACCTGATTTACCAATAGAATCATAAATCCTCCCTATAGAATATTAAATGTGTTAAAGTCAAAGAGGAATGCATCTACTCCTCCAAACACACTTCTTGGAATCACAATGAATGAGTCTGCAAACTGTTTTGTTCAGAGGGTACTCAGCAATCTGTCCACAATTTATAAGTATACACATATTTTCATTCAGGTTACTGTTTTTCTTGCTATTAAAATTTGTATCAGTCAACTCAGGGTCTCCTTACAAGGTATGTAAAAATTAACTGACTGGAAACCTTAAATAAAAATCCATTTTCTCATATATCCAGAGGCTGGAAGTTCAAGAGCAGGCTTTGGTAGGGTAAGTCTCTTCTGAGACAACCTTCCCTGGCTTGGAGATGGGTTTTCTTCTGAGTTTGTACCTGTGTATTTCTCTGTCGAATCTCTTCTGACAGGGACACTAGTCGTACTAGATTAGAACCCATACTAGTGGCCATGTAATCTTAACTCTTTAAAGATATTACTTTCAAATAAAAACAATAGTGAGGTACAGGGGGGTTAGGGCTTCACTATGTGAATTTTGGGATGACGTAATTCATCCAGAAAGAAAATAGATCGTATCTGTTACTTCTGTCCTCTACAAATATAACATCGTTCATTGCCAAAAATCCTTTTCTGCTTCTTTATTTCCCCCCCCCCTTATTACTTTCTAAACCTTTGTCTAGAAAGTTTCTTTTTTTAAAAAGCTTTATGAATTTTCTATATATCTTTTAAAATCTCTTTTATTTTGCTTTCACACTGACAGCAACGCAGCCTATCCATTCAGTCAAAGTGAGCAACTGACTGGAAAAAAAATTAAACTGCATTTTAGCAAAGTTAATTGATCAATATTGTCCAGATTACTTAAGCCAATAGCCTTAAACACGGCCTTGGTAGTATTCTGGAATTCTTTATATTTCAAATGAACTTCAGAAGCTTCCCTCTCCCATCCCTCTCTTTATTTTTAATGTTATTTTCTAAATGTATGTTTCATTCTTATGGACTGTTTTTATTACTTAAGCACTCTTAATAGAGAGATTTTTTTAAGGAACTCCCTAAGACTATTGAAGCCTGATTTCTGAAACATATTAACTGATAGAGAAGAACATGTGGAGTTTTTATAATCAACAAGATAATGGAATTAACTGACAAAATGCCACTTTTCCAACCTCAGATACAACTGAAAGTGCTAGGAGGAAATGGTAGAAATTACTCCCTACATAGTTCTCAGATCTTCTTCTCTTAACTTGATTCCTGCTTGAAACTTAATTACCCTCCTCCCATTGTAGGAGGATTATTTCCAACCCTATCACGCATACCCACATTCTCAGTTTATCTCATCCCTCGATAAATTATACCCTCATGTCATCTATGATGCCCTCAAATCTACTTCTCCAGGGGTCTCCATTTATTTTTATCCTCCATCTCCCATTACCCAAGCTGGAAAATTTATGAACCA